GGATGTGGAGTATGGCAGCATTCCTGTGATTTTTCTTTATCTAACAAGTCTATGCAGAACAAACAGCTGAAGAAGGAAACCTACAGGTCTACAGAGAACACGCAGAGTAGGACTAGTTGAGCTCATGAACAAGAGAGACTGAACAGCCTCCTATGTTTCTAGTTCTGCAATATACTGGCTTTATACATCAGTACCTAATATATAGGTTACTCATTTGTTTGCACTGCTACCACAAAACCTACTTTACCATTTAATGATACTCTATCTGAACCAAACTGAAACACAGCAAAAGAAGCTAACAAAGCCAGTTAAGAGCATGCACTTTTCTCTAGCCATATGGCTTCCAGAAGGGGAAGTCTTGCAGCCGTATGATAATAAACACGTGAGCAGTGGGGGAATACAGACATACTGTGAGATCAACTGTCAGAGACTGTGATTGTCCAGTACTCTATTGTGGCACCTCTAAGTAAATCAACTCTGCCAATTGTTATATTGAACAATGGACCCAAGATTTTTGCCTCTGCACAAATAGGGCACTGAATTCGAATTAACACCATGGTATGTGGTGTTGAGGAGGAGCACATCATTATCCTCATGTACTCCTATATAATATACAGCGTTTGTGGCACAGTGCTGGTGTCCCTTCCTCTAAACCAGGAGGCACAGGTTCAAGTTCTACCTGCGCCAGAGTTGTGTCATAGTACGTCTGAACAGGTTAATCAGAAAATATTCATTCTTGCACAACTAGCATACCACATACAGAAACCGGACTAGGCCATTCAGCTCTTCATACCTATTCCATCATTCAATTAGATCATGGCTGACCTGTATATTAACTGTAACTGGCTACCTTAGTTCCATATCCCTTAACAACTTTTCCAGTCTTTGATCTCAGTTCTTAATGTTTTCAATTGATCGAGTTTGAATCATTTGTTTTGGTAGAATGCGGATTTCAACTAACCTGTGTGTGCAAAGAAGAATGTCCTGACATCAGCCCTGAACAGCAAAATCTAACGTAATGGTTATTTTCCCTGGTTTTGGACTCCCAACAGTGGAGACGGTTTCTCAGTCTACCCTACCAAAGTTGTAATCATCTGAACCACCTCAACGCGATCACCCCTTAATCCTCTAGACTGATGGGAAAACAAGCCAAGTTTATGCAACCTATCCTCCTGATATAACGCCTTGATTTTTTTAAGTTTACATACAAACAAACAGTACACTAACAATGAACAGTTGAATGTGCCTGGCGGGGTCTCTCGTCGGATGTCCTCGTATTCCTCATAGATTCCCCTTTTCTGAACAGTACTGACGTGGTCCAACAGTTCTTCCACCGTCATTCCTTCCAGTCCTGGCACATGTATGGACACTTCATCCCGTGGGAAACTTGTGATAAGTTCGTCCAGTGAGTCAGTGTGGCCATTTGGAGAGGTTAAAAACTGTTTGTTCCAGCTGGAATGGTCCAGTTTCAGTGTCCCACCCAAATGCTCAGGCAGGCAATCCCTGGGCAGATATTGTTTCAACTCATTCGTCTTCACCATTTGCACCTGCAACATATACACAACAGTCAGTCAATCCACTCCTAATACATTATAGTGGGCGCACATGGAAGAATTTAAATTTGTTTGCTACATGCAATGTCCAATATAACAGCCATGACACCTGCAGACAAAAAGTAATTAGGATTTGCTGTAGTCTGCCAGCTGAACGAGACGTACTCACAATAAGGCTCCTAGTTCTCCTAGCCATGCCTATCATAAGATGTACATAGTTCCAGCTGTTCGCAGAAGGTAGTTAGTTCTATACCTCAGAGATGCTTTCCCATAAGGGGAAATCTTATAGGTTTCAGAGTGATAGTCAAAATTTCTGAAATTCACCAATAGTTTCTACCCAAAATAAACTCTGTACTTATGACATTGTAATTGGCAATTGTGAAAGATGGGTAATACAAAAGGCTGATGGATTATTGCTTTGTGGTGAATGTGCGTGATTGCCTGTTTGAATGAGGGCAGTTTATGTGCTGGAATCTATACCAGCTGCAAAAACTAGCCACTGGGCAGCAGCTCCGCTGGATGATATCTAATGGTGCTCATGATCAGAGATATGCACAATTCACAAGTTTCTGATGTTACAGTAGATTTTAGTTTAAGATTACTGAAATGATCGAAGAGCTGCTTTAATATTTCAGCAATTTGTGTGTGGTTAAGGAAACCATGATGCTTCATTGCTAAATGTTGCTTCACTGTCAAAGACAATGAATAATGATCAGTTGGCCAGGGTTGCCAGAGGGTGACCCAAATCTAAGGAATCATATCTCATCCAAGTCGGGAGAAAATAACTTCTGGAGATGAGAGGCTACGTGGGTGATGACAGTTCATACCTCATGATGACAGCCTGATCTCATGCTCCCCACTGTAGAAGAAAAATCATTTTCAGTATACAGCCGGCCCTCAGAAAAGGCAGGAGATCAGAGAAACATCAATTTGTACAAATATACAAGAAATCTGTACCAGAGAGTAGTTTGAATTAGGAAATGCATTACTCCACATCCACTGTACTTCCAGATCTCCCTGTGTCTGATTCTATACGACTGACCAGTTTTTACACAAGCTGCTCTCGTGAAGCCCACTTTGTAATGAAGCACAGCACTTTTGACAACTCTAATAATGGATGTGAAATTCACAGCCACTATAGCTATTGCCCAACCTTCCCTGGTTTAAGAGATCAAAAGATTAAAATAAATAACTCTAACAAGAACCAGCAGCACAGTACAGTAAATAGGGAAGAACAACATTCATGTTTCAGATCTGCAACATGATGCTGACTGGAGTAAATTCCTGTAGACATCTGTATATTAGTGACTCCAGGTACTACAGTGACAACCTACACAGGATCACTTTTCACAGGTTTCACAATCAGACAACAAAATGATCTCAACAAAAACTATTCAGCCAGTCAATAACATGAATGTTTTAATCCTGTAACCCAAATAAAATTTCAATACCAACTGATGGGGGACAGAGCTATCTTGTGTGCACTGGGGACAGCACCCAGTACGTTATCCTCTACACCTCAATGCTCACTCTCCCTGGAGTATCCAATTCCATCCCATCATGAGAGCCTGGAATTTGCATCACTCTAGTCACCATTGTTCTTTTTCATGGTGATGTCTGCAGTTCCAGCAGCACCAACTACTTTGTTCTGGAGCTGCTGGGACTGCTAAAGCTGCCAACCAGACAGACTGGCTGGCATCTCTGGAGGCTGGGACTTCCTGTCCCCAGAGGGGTAGCATCTAACCCTCACACAGCTTATGCCATTACACAGCATTATTGCTGCTGGGCAGAACGATGCCCCCACTGTACTAAATTCACCCCAATGCATTCAGTACAGAAACCTTCTGATGAACGGCATCAGACCTGAAATTTTTACTTCATGTTTTTCCCACAGATGTAACCTCATCAGCTAACATCCTCATTTTTTTTGTTCCACGTTTCCAGCATGTATAGTTATTTTGCTGTTTGTTTCTCCTTGGCATCAGCTCAATTCAATCACAAGTCAGTGTCCAATATGCATGAAACACCATATAGAACATTCAGAATTTAATGAAGTAACAGGGTGTTGATTTTATAAAAAGTATAGTTTCTCTCATTTCACACTTTGTGCCCATCAGAGAGACATAAACCCAAAAGATGCTATTTTCTGTAGCAGAAACATAATTATCAACCAGAATGAGGGGGATACTCTAGGCAATAATGAAGTTCCATCAGCAAGAAGGCAACTGTTGCTGACCTGGATGATGTCAGTACTTTGATTTAAATTTCACACTTTAGAACTTTAGCCCAAGAAGGCAATGCAAAGAAAGAAAGGCTTGTATTTATGCAGCAATTTTCGTGACCATTGTACATATTTCAAAGTGTTTTACAGTCAGTGAAGTACTTGAAGTGTATTTACTGTAGGACCTCCAGCTACCAATTTGCACACAGCAAACTCCCACAAATAACATGATCATGATCATGTTGTCATTTTTGTGATGTTGATTCAGTGGTAAATGTTGGCTAGACATCACAGATAATTCCCCAGCTCTCAGAATCATAGAAAAGGATGCCGTTTGACCCATCATGTCTGTGCTGGCTCCCTGCAAGAAAACTGAATTAATCTCATTCTCCTGATCTTTTTCCGTAGCTCTACAAATTTCCTCTCTTTAGATGGTTATCCAATTTGCCTTTGAAAATCAGCATTCAATCTGCTTCCATCACATTCTTAGGAGTTTATTCCAGAGCCTAACCTGCTTGCTGTGCATTTGATGATTTTCTTCGTGCTATTTTTGATGGTTTTGCAAATTATCTTAGATCAGTGACCTCTTATTCCTGACCCTTCTGCAAATGCAAACATTTCTTCCGATCTACTTTGTCTGGATGCCTCATGATTGTACAGAGCTCCATCACATCCCTTCTTTTCCAAACAGTACAGTCTACATTTTTCAGTCTGTCCACAATCTATCCCTGGAACAATTATCATGAATCTCTTCTGCACCTTTTCTAATGCGTTCAAATCTTTCCCAAAGTGTAGTCCACAAACTTGGACACAGCTGAGACCAAAACAAATGTTTTATACAGGTTTAGCACAATTTCTTTTCTTTTCTACTTTATCACCCTGGTTATAAAATGCAGGATGCCATATATTTTATTAACAACTTTCTCAACCTGTCTTGCCACCTTCAATTACATATGCACATAGACAACAAGCTTCCTCAGTGCCTGCATCCCTTTTAGAACTGTACTCTCTATTTTATATTGCCTCGCCTCATTCTTCTTAGAAATGAATAATTTCACTATTCTCTGCATTATATTTCATCTGCCACTTCTCCACCTATTCCTATCCTCTATCACTATCTTCACCTCAAAATACTTCCAAGTTGATTGCTATCTGCAAACTTTGAATTCGTGCTCTGGACACCTAAGGCCAGATCACTTGTATATATCAGGAAAAGGAGGGGTCCTTCAACCACTCTTGGGAATGTCAATGAATGCCTTCCTCCTATCTGAAGAGCAAACATCCTATCTGAAGAGCAAACATCCACCCTTACCATTATCTTCTTTCAGCTAATTTCACATCCCAGCAGCTGCTATGTCTTTCTTTCCATGGGTTCTGGCTTTACTCACAAATCAACCAGCAATGTTACCTCATTAATAAAACTCAATCAAATTTGACTTTAACAAATCCACACTGCCTTTCCTAATTTAATCCGCATCTGCCAAGTTACTGGTGATTTTGTCCCAAGTTATCATTTTTGTTCAACAAAAATGGAATTCATTGCAGCAACCAAACTGGGAAGCCAACAGGCAAAACCTCAAAGTTTTATGGGGACCAATAAAATATTTTTAAAAAATGTCTGTCCTGCAGTCTCATCAAATTGAAGCACAAGTACTTTGTGATCCAAATCCATCTCTCCACAATAATTCATGATGTTGGAGGAGGTAGATAGACAGGATAGAAGATTGGCCAAATAACAGATGACAAAGTTGGGTTAAATGGGGTATTTTCAATTTAGCAAATTGTAACTTGTCGAGTACCACAAAGATCATTTGCAATTTATGTTAATGATTTAGATAAGGGTCTGACTGTATGGTAGTCAACTTAGCTAACGATACAGAGATGAGAGTAAGTTGTGAGGATACAGACTCTACAAAGGGGCACAGGTAGGTTAAGTGACTAGGCAAACATTTAGTAAATGGAATATAATGTGGGAAAGTGTAAGGCTGTCCTCTTTAGGAAGAAGAATAGAAAAGCAGAATATTATTTAACTGGAGACAGGCTGCAGAATGCTGAAGTACAGAAAGATCTGGGTATCCTTCTAAATTATCCACCAAAGGTTAGCATGCAGATACGGCAAATGGAAAGTTGACCTTGATTGCAAGAGGAATGGAGTACAAAGTTGCTAAACTTTGGTAGGGCTTTGATGAGACTATAACTACACTTTTGGTCCCCTTGCTCAAGAAGGGATATACATGTATTGTAAGCAGGTCAGAGAAGAATCACAAGGCTGATTCCTGGGATGAAGTGGGTGTCTTTTGAGGAAAGGTTAAGCAGGCTGAGCCTATACTCATGCAAGTTTAAAAGAATGAGAGGTTATCTTACTGAACCGCAAGATTCTGAGAGGATGTGGCACAGTAGATGCTCAGAGGATGTTTCCTCTTATGGGGCAGTCTAGAACGAGGGGACAGTTTTAAAAGCAAAAAATCTCCCATCTGTACCTGAAGTAATGAGAAATTTATTCTCTTAGAGTTATTAGTCTTCAAAATTCTTTTCTCAAGAAAGTAATGGAGCATGGGTTAGTGAACATGTTGAAGTCTGAGTTGGACAGATTTTTGATGAAGAAAGGAGCTTAGGGTTATGAGGCAGCTGGCACAAAAGTGGAATTAAGGTCACAATCTGATTAGTGACAATCTTATTGAATGGTCCTACTGCTCCTATTTATGATCTTATTAGGTTATTTGCTGGATAGTGAATCAAGAATTTCTGCTAAAAAGCACTGCTAATTTTTTCTCCCTACTGTAACTTAACACATCTTGTTCTAATTTTGCAAGAATTCACTGTTGCTAATGTATTTTTATTTTAAGGCACTTTATCCATATCTTATCTTTGCCGAGTAGAACGGAACCCGACTTCCTGAATTTGCTATATCAGTACATTGGTCAAAGGGCCCATAGGCATCCAAACACTTCCCAAATTCTTTAGGGAGGACAATTTCTGCATCTGGAACTGGGAAAAACTATTCAGATTCACAGCACTGAAGGAAGGCAACCTAGCTGTAGCAATTATTTAAACAACTAATGCAAAACTAGTTCCAATCCCTACACTACCCCCCCACTTCTCTGCTTCAAACATTGATCAATTTTCTCTTAAAACATGCAATATCTCTGCCTTAACCACACATGCTCCAACAAGCCTTGGCGTTTAGGAATTTCTCCTACACTGTACAACGGAACAAACACAGGTTTATTCTATTTACAGCTTCATGCTTAAAGAACTTTCTCCCATTTTTAACATATTATCCATTCAACATGAATGGCACTTAATCATTAAAACCCATTTGCCAGATTTGCTATGAGTCAATTGATGAATATTTGTCAGGCCAAAGGCAAAGTTCAACAGTCCTTATTATAAAGGCTATCTTCCAATGCTTAAACAATTTATCCCAATTCCCTCCAGTCCATATCTCAAATTTTTCTGCAATTATTGAGGTTCTCATCAATAATCAAATAGTAGGTTATTAATTTTTTTATGTAATTCTTTTAATGAGAAAATACAATGGTATGAGTTTACAATGAGAAGTTTATATGAACTAATTTTCAGAAGTTACAAAAATACACTTCATTAAAATTTCTTATTCTAGTTGAGAAGGTGCAAGTACTTTCTATGTTTACAGTGCCTTGCAACTTTTATCACCCAGGCATCAAGTGGGAATTCAATGGTTTGCACTGGAAACCATTATAAAAGTGGCAGATTCAGACTACCTAGTGCTTTGAAAACTCTAGATTGACAAAAGATCATTGATGCTAAAATAAAACTGACGGAACTGAAGAAGGGCCAAAGACCTGAAACGTTAACTGTGCTTTCTCTCCACAGATGCTGTTAGATCTGCTAAGTTTCTCCAGCAATTCCCGTTTTTGTTTCATGTCATTGATGCTATATTGAATGCCTGAATGCAAGGGGGCTCAATTCCAAGATTAAGGTACCAGATTGAAAATCTACCAGGAGGAAGAAGCGATGTGCATGGTTGAAATTCTGTACATACTCTGGATTAATCCAAAATGCGCCCAGTTGCAACCACAGTAACTCCACACATAACCAGAATCATTTCACGAGTCACTCAGTCTACAGAACTATGGCCAGTCTTATGTTGCTCCAGTATAGGGTCGACCATTATTTCTAGAACATAGTTACTAGTTGGAACAAAGTATACACTAGGTTTATTCTACAGCCTATTAGAGTTCACAATGTCCCTCTGCAGCCAGGCTGAAATTTTTAAGAGACAAATAAATGTGTAGTCCAAATTCTGAACACACTTCAGACCCATCAGCTTTTGCAGCTAACCCAGTCATGAATCTGGATCACAATTTACAGTACTGACATACCATCCACATTCAAAAGTCACAGATCAGTTCAGCACATTAGGTAAAAGTAATAAAATAATAAAATGCTAAAATAAAACTGACGGAACTGAAGAAGGGCCAAAGTAATAAAGTAATAAAATGTACGTGTTCCAAACTTTTAAACTATTAAAATTGGGCAACATAATTGCTGGGAAGTACTTACTCTTTCCCGAAGCTTTTCCTTAAGAATTAAGCTTAGAACGGAATATGGGAATCGAAACCAGACAGGTGCACCAACAATGAATACTTTTTTCAAACGAGCAGGAAAAGCTCCCTGAAAACAGAAAGGCAATTATATTAGAACTCAGCACTGGCAGAAAAATAACTTACTACCCGTATGAATGATTTAAAAGAATGCTGCTTCTAAAGATGAAATAATAAACCTTTACAGAACTAGGATTTCATTACCTTTTTCGGGGCGGGTGCGGGCGGGTGCAGGGGAGGAAAGTGTTTATTTAACTAGTAAAAAGGACAGAACACTTGACAAAATCCCACCTGCACAACTACACAGAACTTCAATATAATTTCTGCTACCAGATTCAAAACAAGAGGAAGGAAAGGAGAAAGGAGAGCAAGTGAATAATTAGAAAGGGAGAAAACTTTTTTGAATCCGTGGTAGGTAAAACTTGGTTAAATTTAAAAAAATCTTCCCAATGAAAGGAACTTTAACATCTCAAATAGACAGCTGTCATTTTTAGCCAGCACTGACATTTTGGTTTAGGGAGTGAAAACCAATTGCAAACATGCACTATCCTATGTAGTCTGATCTTACAACTGTAACACATCCGACTATCCACCATATTTAGTCATCAAGAAGGGGTGTGGGAAAGGAAATAATCAGTTGCATTAGGCAATAAGTGAGTTTTGTCCCCTTAACTACCAGAGTTGAAAGGCCTCATTTAAAAGGTAAGAGCATCGGTAGAATGGCCTAACATTGCGACCTCCATGAACAAACCATTAATTTCAGACAAACTATATTGGTTATCTGCATCTGAAACACACATTAATAAATCTGCATAGTCAAGTGACTGCTAAGGTTTTGTAGTAGAGTCGTAGCTCGGGTTGTGGGTGTTGAGGTTGGTTGGCTCGCCGAGCTGGTTTGTTGTTCCGCAGACGTTTCGTTACCGTGCTTGGTAACATCCTCAGTGCAGCCTCTGATGAAGCGTCGGTGTGTTTTCCCGCCTGGTTTTTTAAACTCTGGGGTCCATTGCGATGGATTGCCTCACTTCCGGGTTTCCTCCGTAGTGGAATGTATATGGGGTCGAGTTCAATGTGTTTATTAATAGCATGTACTCCCTGAAGCAGGCAATCCATCGCAACGGACCCCAGAGTTTAAAAAACCAGGCGGGAAAACACACCGACGCTTCATCAGAGGCTGCACTGAGGATGTTACCAAGCACGGTAACGAAACGTCTGCGGAACAACAAACCAGCTCGGCGAGCCAACCAACCTCAACATCAAGTGACTGCATTTTCTGCTTCGCCATATGAACTTTGAGATAACCCAAGAGATGAGTACAGGAACTACATGCTTTAATGAATATGTGTTTACAAGTTGTGAGGTTGTCAGAATGGAATAGGAAACAGGTCAAGGAATCAAAGTGGATATAGCGCAGAAGGAAGCCAGTGAGCCTACTCTGTCCCTGCCGGCTTTCTTTAAAAGTTGCTCAGCTAATTTTGATCCCGTGTTCACTGATGCAGCGAAATCAGAACATGTCAAATCTTATTCTATCCACAGCTCCCAATCAATACATATTCTTACATTTCACCCTCATCTCCTTCAACTCTATCCTAAACAGCACCTTCACACACCCCCCAACCCATTAACTCACATCTTGATACTCACCCAGTCACCAGTTTCTGTATCAGTTCCTTCATTGTCTCTGTCTTTCTCCATCATGTAGCCTCCTCCAGCCCTACAATACTCGCTGTAAGGCCCACATTCTTCTAATACGTACCTCTTATGCATCTCCCTGGTAGCTGTATTTTCAATCAGTTTAGCCTCTTACTCTGGCATTTCTTCCCTGAATGTCTCCATCTCCTTCCTTAAAACCCTCTGTATGTTCAACTCTTCCACTAACCTTTGGTCACCCATTTTAATACCTCTTTGCTTAGCTTAAAGTCCTTCTCTAATAACACAAAATTAAACAGCAGTGGTGACAGGCAATGGAAGCTTTCTTATTCTGACAAGCATAGTATAAATACAAGTTAACCACAACACTGCTTCTAAAATTGCATCTGACTGCCCTGCAAGAGAAGACAACGGAAACAGACAGTTTGACCAAGGAAATCATATCTGGGGAAGTAACTGGACAGTTTAAAGTTAACGCTCTGGATTCATACATTAAATGATAAACAATTCCACAATTTTAGATAGGTATTTCTAATTTTTTTGATGAAATTATTAAACACTTCAAGATTTGCTTCAGTGCGACTTAGGCAAGTTGAGTGAGTGGACAAATGGTATAACATGGATAAATGTGAGGTTATTTTGGTAACAAAACCAGGCAGGCAGATTATTATTTGAATGGGATACATTGGCGGGGAGAACGTGCAATGAGATCTGGCTTCTTTGTACTCCAGTTGCTGAAACTAAGCAAGCAAGCAGGTGCAACAGGGCGCTGAAAGTGGTAAATGGTATGTTGACCTTCATTTGAGGGGATTTGAATATAGGAGCAGGGATGTCATGCCACAACTGTGAAGAGGCCTTGGTGAGACCATACCTGGAATATTGTGCACAGTTTTGGTTTCCTTACCTGAGGATGGATGTTCTGGCTATGGAGGGAGTGCAACAAAGTTTTACCAGACTGATTCCTGGGTTGGCAGCAGTGACATATGTAGACCAGACTGGATTGGTTAGGACTATATTCAGTGAAGTTTAGAAGAATGAACAAAAAAACCTATAAAATTCCACAAGGACTATGCAAAGTAAATGCTGGAAGGATGTTCCTTGTGACTGGGGTATCCAAAACTAGGGGTTACAGTTTAAAGATACAAGGTAGGTCGTTTTGGATTGAGATAAGCAGAAATTTCTTCACCCAGAGAGCAGCAAGTCTGTGGAATTGTCTTCTATAGAAAGCGGTTGAAGCCAAAACATTGAATGTTTTCAAGGAGTTAGATATAGTTCTTATGGCTAAAGGGATCAAAGGGTATCATGAGAAAGTAGGAACAGAGTACTGAATTGGATGATCAGGCATGATCATATTGAATGGCAGTGCAGGCTTGAAGAGCTGAATGGTATACTCCTGGTGCTATTTTATATGTATGTAATATTTGCTGTTATTAATACTGAATCAATCAACAAGTTACCTTTCATTACATATTACATAAAAACTCTGGTCAGCCAGAAAAATTGAAAAACTGCGTAACTTCTTTTGAAACAAGTGCAATGACTCCCTTTAAGTGAATGATATGATGAATGGTAGTGAGATAATCTGATCTTAAAAATGAATGGGAAGCCATGGAATGTCAGTTACTTCAGTCGCCCAATTGAAATGACCGAATTTTCTCACTGTGTTTGGAAATTATTCCATTACATACATCATGTTTATTTATGACATACCAGTACTTACAATATTTTCACTTTATATTTTATAGCCTCTAATGAAATGTATTTTCTTGACTAAATATTCCAGAACTGTCTACTTAATGGCATTGTGTGCACCTATACCCTAGGGACTGCAGCAGGGCAAAGAAACAGCTCACCACCATCTTCTCCAAGGAAATTAGGAATGGACAATGCCCCAGCAACACCTATGTCCCATGAATGGATAACTTAGAACAACCTCTATTTATATAGAGCCTTTTACACGGTGAAGTGTTTTGGAAATTTTTACAAGAGGGCTTTCATACAAAATTTGATGCTGAACTACGTAAGGAGATATTTGTTCAGGTGGCCAAAGTTAAACAAGTAGATTTTAAAAGATGAGAGAGAGTTGATGATGTAGAGGATTTCAGGTAAGAAATTCCAGTTTAGGGCCTTAGCAGCAGATTTGCGCATACTTGATTCAATTTCAAACAAGCATGGCTGTTAGCGGTCAGTCATGGCCGAACTGTACACTGTTCATGGCACTGCTTCTCCCAGAGTCCACTAATGATAGAATGAACAAAACCGACAATGTGCATGAAGCTAGAAGTGGAGAAATGCTGAGTTCCCTACAGCAGAAGAAGTATAGAACTGGAGGGAAAGATTCATACATTTTCAGGTAGAATGAAGAGAGGACACTGACATTAGTATGCAAAAAAATACAAGTATGTTTGTGTGTAACAGCTTAAACGAAAACACATTTCAAACAGAATCCATCTATTTGCAAACTCAGCTTTCTAAAAAGAAAGACTACAATCACCACAGGGGCACTGTGTTAACTGAATATACAATCAAGTTGTATACATTCAATAGGCCTGAACACGAGTACCACTGAAAAAGATATTTTGTCATAGTCATAGGATCCCTGTAGTGCGGAAACAGGCCATTCGGCCCAACAAGTCCACACGACCTCTCTGACGAGCATTTCATCCAGACCCATTGCCCTACCCCTGCATTTTCCCCATGTCTAACCCCACCTAACCTAAACATCCCTGAACGCTATGGGCAATTTAGCATGGACAATCCACCTACCCTGCACACCTTTGGACTGTGAGAGGAAAACAGGGCACCCGGAAGAAACCCACGCAGACACAGGGAGAATGTGCAAACTCCACACAGACAGTTGACCAAGGGTGGAACTGAACCCGGGTCCCTGGTGTTGTGAGGCAGCAGTGCTAACCACTGAGCCACCATGCCGCCCCTTTCATCTTGTATTCATCAGGACAATATTCAAGAAATACCAAGCGGAAATTTATACTGTATGAGAAGACAGTGTGGCAAGTGGACTCTGATTGGGACAAGCAGTGCCATGGACAACGTACCAGTTAGGCCATGACTGACAGTTAACTGCCAAGCATGTTTGAATTTAAATCAGGCAGATCAACTGTGATTGATCAAGAAACTGATCTGAAGAATAAACTGCACAGAATAGCTGTCAACTGTTTTATGGATTTGAACAGGGCCCTGTGTATTAATATATGTAGCTCCTACGTGCAAATCTGCTATATTGTGAGTCTGAGGAACAACCCTAAATTGGTTGTCAGCATAATTCTTAGCACAGTCAGGGTTATTTAGCAAACATTGTCCGATCATGGAATCGCATCTAATGTTGGACACACTGCTTGGGTTCTGCAAGCATGGGTTGGTTAGGTATGGTCAGTATCTTTCCTGTTGCATACAATCTGTCAGTCAGTTGGTTAGATGTGTGACCTACATACGTAGTATTACACCAGCACTGAAATTGAAATATTATTAATTTGTGCGAAAAGATAGAATGTCTTTTTGAACAAGCGATATTTTATTTCTAAGATCTCAAAAATAGATAAATCTCTACTATAGAAAATTAGAAATTAGAGGCAAGGGAATGCCATTTGGCCCTTTGAGCCTGCTATATTATTCAATATGGTTACGGCTACTATCAAAAAATGCTAACCTCCATTTCTGGAAGACCATCACTGAGATGTCAGCAGTCTAGAAAAAGTCTTCAATGCTGCAATTTTGATCATTGGGGCATTTTCTCCCTCCTGATTAACAATGGCATATAAGGTTATGAGGTTAATATGGCTAAAAGGGGTTGATTATATTAAAATGGTGAAACTGGCTTAATGGCTGAATGGCATAATCCAGTTCTTGTGTTCTCTTGCCCAATATTCTTTGACATGTATACACCAACATTCTTAAGTCAAGGAAGTAACTTTCCTACAGAACCAAGCCTGATTAACTTCTAATAGAAAGCTCAGTGCTATGCCAGTAACTGAAATAACAAATACAGATCAAAGATAGGAACAAGGGAAAGACGACAGTAGCAGCTAGGTTCATTCAGGCAAAAAGGAGAAAACAATTAAGTCCTATTAAGTCACCAAAGAATTCCCTTCCAGAAGTCTGAAATAGTTTTGGTCAGTACTAGAATGGGGCCACCCTTCAAATATACTGCAAACTGTGATATTTGCAAAGGAAAACCCTGGCTGTGCTTGAGCCATTCCCCTTCCAACAAGCTTGTTGCTTTTCCAACATCTACCAATGCATGGATGATCAAGAGTGTCTATGTCAATGACGTTTAGTGACCTACCTTCAAAAGGTGAAGAATTTTCTTGCTCAGGTCATACTCAAAGTTGGTGTATGCAGAACCGGCCATATCATAAATGAACACCAGCCCGTTTCTTTGAGTTTCAAAACTAAGGAAACAAAAGATGGCCACTAAGGTTAGAAACTTGTTTTAATAACTGATCAGAACATTCAGTATGATAACACTGCAGGGCAGACATTTGTTATTGCCGCAAGATCAGTTCAAAAATTAAAGGAACTACTGGGAGAAAACACGAATTGTTACATTTCAAATTTGTTTTGACAGCAAAGGAATAGAACAGAACCGAAATTTATTGCCACATGTAATTTTATGTGAAAAGTTTTAAAAGTCGCCCCACCACGGCACCTATATCAACAACAGAAATCATACATTATAATAAAAAAAATTAAAACAATGCCCACCACAGTTCAGTTTACAGCCCCTGGGCTTGGGGAAAGCTGATTAAGGAATAATGGAATACTCTAAAGACGCAGCCTGAAGATATCTCTATCACATTCACAGATGACAGAATTGACAGAGTCAAACTATTTACACACTGAAAATGGTCACAAAAGTTGTCAGATCTAACGTGCACATATTTTCATTTACCAGGTATAAAAATCACACTTCATATTTATCTGGGGCACACATGTTCAAAAAAACCATCCAACAATGCTGTGATTCAAAATCTCAAATGAAACAGTGCTTTTCAAGTGTGCAAACTTAATCAGTGATTTGAAAATAAAATCTGAGATGTGCAACTTAACTGTTTTGTTCTTTGGAACTAGATTGTGTTGAAGTAGTGACCCAATCTCATTTGCCACTCTACATAAAAGGCTTTTCGTTAGTCCCATAATCTTGCTGAAAGGAAATTAAATCTCAACTATTTTAAAACCATTTTTACCTAATTCCTTAACTGTGTATTTTTATCCTAATGCAGAGCAGTTTCTGTTTTATGCTTCAAAATCTTCAACACTTTCATTAACATTTACCATGGAAACTATTTTATTCTAAAATAATGAAGGGCAAAGATGTCGAAGATTGCCAATATCAAGTGAGCTGTCCCTCGTTTGAGTTACTGTCTTCAGAAAAGACATAACAAATGGGAAATCCAAAAGGAATTAAAAGGTATTTTCGCACAAAGAAACAGTTTAAAGAGCAGATGGGATCTTCACACTTCCAAATTCACACATAGCAAGTTCAGGTTAAGCACAGAAACAGAGCCAGAAAAGGTTCCGCACTCCATCTGGTCACTTCTAAAAATTAATAACCTTGCTATGGCTCAGAAAACTGTGACCATTTCCCACATTAACCCACCACTACGACCCAAAAGTGTGATCTTAAAATGCTTTTTGAGCAGAAGCTTGCTTCTGAAGAGTTCACAAACCATAGCCCATTTCTTGATGCTTAGGGTTAGCTGTGTCTTCTTCAGAGATTAAGAGAGTATGCATTTGTAAGACACTGAAATCTAGGTCTGATCACAAAGGTATTTCACTATTGCACTTCAAGCTCCCATTAATACATATAGGGTAATGCCATTTCCAATGTGTTAAAAAAAAAAGCAACTAACTTGTGAAAAGGAGTTACACATATCACTAAACTGAGATACTAACAGCAGATTCCCATCACCCAATCTCTCAAATACACTGTCTACCACAACTACCTCTTTATCTTAAACCTTCACAATTAAATTTGTACACTTCTCTTTAAAAATTGTTGGACTTTAAAATCAATTTCAATCATAGCAAGGATCAATTTATTGAAACCCTAAAGAATTTTGAATACATTTTCCTTTATCTACACTAACGAATTCCTACCAAAAGACATTAGTGTATAAAATACGACTAAAAGCTGACATTGCATAATAGAAAATGAATTTTAGAAATGTATGTAGTTGTTGCTAATTTGTCTATATGTTGTTACCTTTTAAAGAAATTAGCACGATGTGTCTTGAATAGTTTGAAGAATAGAAATCACTTAAACCAGTAGACATCAAACTGTCACAGTTTGAAGGATTTCATAAACAAAACTCAACACTTCCCCCATCTGCATACTTTACTGAAAGCTTTCGGGTTGTAAATAATAGAGAAAATCCTTACCTTTCAATAGCTTGATCAAGTAAGTAGAACAAGGCTTGCAATACTACATGCTGCAGAGTTTTATTAGGTTGGTGTAACTTGGCAGTGAAGAGTGCAATGGATGCTCCTGATGGATCTCGAACATTCTGAGGACAGGAAAAGAAAACAGAAAAAAAAAACCAATGAGACTGGACCCATAGTGGATAGATTCACACTGGTTTTGGATTGCATTTGTACCACCAGTACACTTTCACTTCTCTTCACCACATTAGTACAGTGATTAGGATCCCTGCCTGTCAAATGAGACACCACGGTTCAAGTCCCTGATAAGTTGTGGCTGATTTCTATGAAAAAGGCTTTGTGTAAATAATTGAACAGGATAAAGTAAGGCCCAGGATCGGAGGCCTAACATTCCAGCTTTAACTGAGCAGAGAGAAGGGAGCCCTAGTTTAACCGCTGCAGCGTCAGGGGACTGCTAATTGGGAAAATACATTAAAAAGAGTGACATTACAGGAAACTGTTATGTTGATTGCTTCTTGGTTTTAAAAACTGTACTTTTTGGAAGAAGGGATTAACTGAGAAACAACAGAAGGAAGTGAAAGTCAGGCCAATATTATAAAGTAATATAAGTAAGCAAAGGCAAAGTAAGGAAAGTAAAATTAGGACAAGGGAAGCAAGGCAATAATACACTTAAAAAGCATGATTAATTTCTTTAAAAACAAACGGAGTAACTAAGGGGCTTAAGAAAGTTATAGCAGCAAAGCTCATACCATAGATACGCTTCTTCTGTGCTACGTGACAAATCATGGAAGCTTTGGTTGTTCCTGGTGGCCATGTGCACAGAAGTGTGCCCAGCTGTAGCTATTGGCTAACTGCATGTCAGGGCTGGAGCTGCAGATGAATTCACTGTGAAGCATCTGTGATGCTATCATGTCATGGACAGCACATTCAGTGAGTGGTCACACCACAGGTGAAGACATTACTAGCTAAAAGGGCATGGGTGACCATCAGGTGGAGTAGGAGGACATAGGTAGTACAGCAGTCGCTGTGTGTTGGGGTGATGATTGTACAGGGGAAAGAGTCTCCAGGCTGTTATGCTGCCTCTCTGGTGTCAGGTTTGGAGATGAACAGCTGCAGGGCATTCTAAAGGGGAAGGGCAAACAGACAGAGATTGTGATACATGTTGGTACAAATGACAAAGGTACAAAAAGGGATTAGGTTCTGTAAGAAGAATTTAGGAAGATAGAAAGCCAATTAAAAAACAGGACCAAAAAGGTAACAATCTCTAGATTATTTCTGCTGCCATGTACCAGTGAGTACAGCAATAGGAAGTTGGTCCAGATAAATGTGTGACTGGAGAGATGTTGCAGGAGGAAGGGCTTTATATTTCTGGGACATTGGGACCATTTTTGAGGGTGGTGGGATCTGTACAAGGTGGATGGGTTGCACCTAAACTGAAATAGGATCAACATCCAGCTAGTGCTCGTGAGGAGGGTTTAAAATAAATTGGCAGGGAGTGGGATCCAGAGAGAATGTTCAGTAAGTGGGAGATGAATGACCAAAATTAGAAGTGACACCAAGTGAGTCAAGGTACTTACTTTAATGCCAGGAGCCTCATGAACAAGGCAGATAAGTTGAGGGCACAAAATAAAACATGAGGTACTCATGTAATTGCTGTTAATGAGACATGATTGAGAGGGGGAAAGTGTTGGCAGCTCTATATTCCAGGACAGAAGGTCTTCAGGTGAGACAGGGAAGCAGGTAAAAGAGGAAGGGATGTCACAATTTTGATCAGGGAATCATTTACAGCAGTAAGGAGGAATGACATCTTAGGCAGCTCCTCGAATGATTCCATATGGATAGAACTTAAAAACCAAAAAGGTACAATCAAATTGCTGGGAGTGTACTATAGCACCCCTAACAATCCGAGAGAAATAGAAAAGCAGATATGTAGGCACATTTCAGGTGTGTAAAAGTAATAGGGTGGTTACAGTAGGGGATTTCAACTTTTCCAACATTAACTGTGGTAGTCATGGTGTGAAAGACTTAGAGGGAGTGGAATTCTTAAAATGCATCCAGGAGAGATTTTTAAGCCAGTATGTGGAAGGCTCTACAAGAGAAGTTCCAGAATCATAGCATTGTCATCTTTCATCCTCACAGGTACATGCTGGTCCTGAACTATGATCTACTGGCCTTTAGAAGACTCCCACATGTCAGATGTAGATATACCCTCAAACAGCCACCCCCAATCTAATTTCTCCAGTTCCTCCCTATTAGTGTTGTAATTAGCCTTCCCACCCAAGGCCAGTCTTATCCTTATCCATAACTACCTTAAAACGTATGGATTTACGATCACTCTTCACAAATTGCTCCTCCACTGAAACTGTGATCACCTGGCCAGGCTCATTCTGCAATACAAGGTCTAGTACAGCCCCTTCACTTGTTGGACTATCTACATATTGTTTCAAGAAACCTTCCTGGATGCACTTAACAAATTCTGTGCCATCCAAGTCCCTGGCACTTAGGGAATCCCAGTCAATATTGGGAAAGTTAAAACCACCCATGACAATAATCCTTTTGGTTTTACATCTTTCTATGATCTGTCTGCATATCTGTTGCGCTATCTCCTATTGGGAATTGGGATGCCTATAGTATAACTTTATCCAAAAAATTGTTCCTTTCTTACTCCTGAGTTTTACCCATATGGCTTCGCTAGATGAGCCCTCCTAGGTGTCCCCTCTTAGTGCAGATGATGATTTCCTCAACCAGTAATAAGATTCCCCAACCCCTTTCACATCCCTCTCTATCCTGTCCAAAACATCTAAACCCTGTAATGTTGAGCTGCCAGTTCTGCCCTTCTCTCAAACAAGTTTCTGTAATGGCAATAACACCATAGTTCCATGTACTAATCCAGGCTCTAAGCTTACCACCTTTCGAGTTATACTCCTTGCATTAAAATAAACATAGTTCAGACCATCAGTCCCACTGTGTTCTCAACTTGGAAATGCAACAATTTAATAAGAACAGTCAGCACAGTTTTGTTAAGGGGAGGTCATGTCTGACCAATTTGATTGAGGTTTTCAAAGAGGTGACCAAGTGGTTAGATGACAGCAATGTATCTGACAGAGTCATTGGTGAAGCCTCTTGTGGAACGCTGTGTCCAGTTCTGGTTGCCCAGTTATAGGAAGGATATTATTAAGCCAAGAGTGTTCAGAAGAGATTTACCAGGATGTTGCCAGGTGTGAAAGGTTTGAGTTATAAAGAAAGGCTGGGACTTTATTTTCCCACTGGAGTGAAAGAGATTGACAGACTACCTGATAGAAGTTTATAAAATGATGAGAGGTAGAGATAGAGTTAAAGGTAGTTGGCTTTTCCCGAGGATGGGGGATTTCAAGACACATTTTTAAGGTGAGAGGAGAGAGATTTATAAAATATAAGAGAGGAACTTTTTTTTAAAAAAACAGAGTGGTTCACCTGTGGAATGAACCTCTTGAGGAAGTTTTGGATATGAGTACAATTATAACATGTAGAAGACATTTGGTTAGGTACACGAATAGGAAAAGTTTGGAGGGATATGGGCCAGGAGCAGACAGGTGGGACTAGTTTAGTTTGGGATCATGTTTGGCACAGACTGATTGGACTGAAGGATCTGTTTCTGTGCTGTATGACTCTGTGATTCAGACTTCAGCAAGGCTTTTGATAAGATTTTGCATGGGAGACTGATTACGAAGGTAAGAGTTCATGGAATTAGATAATGACAAAACTTAAGAAATGTATTGATTAAACCAGAAGCTAGACATGATAAATAGGTGAATAAAGCATCAGTTCTGAGGGACAGATTAGATGTATGACCTGTTTAAGACTTTTACATACATATGTGTGGAGTGTAAAGAATAAATGAAATGAGCTGCAGGGACAAAATCAAATTAGAGTTTATGATGTGGTACCCATTACTGAAACAAGGCTGCAGGACAGTTGGGATTGGGAACTAAATATACCATGTTATAAGGTTTATAGGACAGATAAGGAAAGTGGCAGAGGATGTGGAGTAGCCTTGCTGATTAGAAACAAAATTATTTCAACAGTGAGAGCAAATATAATGAGGGAAAAGCATAAGGTGGAGACAATGTGAATGGAACTCAGGAACAGTAAAGGACTTAAACTGTAACAGATGTTATGCATAGACCCCTGGCAGCAGTTCTCAAGTGTTGTATAAATGCAGAAACTAGGCAAGTGTGTAGCAAAGCCAGAGCAGTAATATTGGAGAAGTTTAACTTTAACATAGATTGGGAGGGGCAGAAAAGCACCTGTCAGAAAGGCAGTGAATTTCTGGAATGTGTCCAACATAGTTTCCTACAGCAATATTTCCTGGATGTAACAAGGGAACAAGCAATATCGGATTTATTATTCAATAGTAATGAGCCAGATTTAATTAGTAACCTAATTGTGTGTGAACATTTATCAAATAGTGATTGTAACATGATCAAGTTCAATGTTGCGGTTGAAAGCAAAAAGCACAAATCTGCTCCTACAGCTTTAGATTTAGGTGAGGCCACTTTAATGAGATGAGACAGACTGTCCACTGCAAACTGGGAAAATATGTTAATTGGTAAAACAACTGAAGAACAGCTGTCTTAGATTCTCCAGCATCGGCAGTTCCTACTATCTCTGAAGAACAGCAGAGAGTGTAAAACAACTCTACACCCGAGAGGGAAAAGCTACACTTCACAGACAAAACAGCCATGGACAATTAAGGGACAGTATAAATCTAAAAGAAAGGACTTACAGCTTGGTTTGCCAAAAAAACAGCAGAGATTCTGCTGAATGAGAAAGAAACAAAGATCAGCAAAGGGCCACAAAGCAGCTGATAACAGCCATTAAAAGGTATTATGAAACAAACTTGCAAGGCATATCAAAATCAATAAGAAGTAGTTTATAATTACATAAAGGGAAAGTGAATGGTCAGGAGCAATGTTGGCCAACTAAAGACTGAAAGTGAGGACATCATTAATGACTACGGGGACATGGCAGACATGTTGAATAACCACCTTGCCTCCGTATGGGCCTAGTGCAGGTTGTGGTACATTTTGGCAGCATAGATTTCATAGGCTGTGAATGATTCTATGATGCCCTCGAACGAAGGGTG